GCCTCAAATTCTTAGTCTCATAAGTGGAACTACCATATGCATAAGACTTACTACAAATGAAACACCTTGACTTCACATCCCCATTGTCTATGTTGTAAATTGACCCCAAACATCTGAAACTTTACGTCTTTTTGGACAAACAGTATTACCACTAGAAGGAGGTTGACCTACGGCTACATTACGGTCCATTTCTATTGCCTCATTAAACAAATCTGTAGACTCCTCCATGCCAAGCCAATCTAAAGGACACAACATAGTATTTACATTTAAATTAATTAACCAATCATAACAATTCATCCAAAAAAATAAAATAAAAAACACTCCCATATATTTTACAAGCAAACTAACTTTACCAAATGGCTGGATTTTCCCAACTCAACAATCAACACTTCTCAACTCCAATAACTCAATGCTCACAATTCACAATGCAAATAATGATTCTAACATTAATAGAAATTTGAAATCAATGGTACATTGGTTTCTTAATAAGAAATTAGGTATTTTTTTGTGATTGGGGATGTTTGGGTCAATTTACACATACCTCGATTAATCCTCCGGTGCCTTGAAATTAATGATTAGATATACCCTCTAGTAGCTATTCCTATTAACAACCAAGAGGAATTAAACTTAAGACCTTTTGAGTAATACATTCAAAAGTCTTTATTGCTCTATTGGTCACCTAGGATGGATAATTGGGTACCTATTTTGTGTTCAATTCTCTTATTTCAACATCTATATTAATTAGAAAATTAAATAAAAAAGATTACCAAATGTGGGCTCATATTGCCCCAGTAGCCCTAGTGGCCCAATAAGGTACAAAGACCTGGCGAAAAGGCAGGTATGGGTCGGGTAGCCACAGTTCATGGGTGAAACAAGCACGGGTCCACGGGTCAATTTTTTCTACGGGTCACCCGCATATAATGGCATTTTTTGTAATTTTTTTCAGGTTTTTGTAATTTTTCATTGTTTTTTGTTATTCAAATTGCATACTTGAAGTTCTAAATTGTATTGATTCAAAAACTTAGTATAAAATTCCTTTATTAAGCTTGAATAACTTGGTTAATTATATTAAATAAATTGATGATTAAATTAAATTTGATTAGATTTCACCAAACATCATTAATTCATTATTAATATTTTTCATATTTATATCAAACTTCACCACGTAGAATTAGTAAACACTAAACATACATAGTAATTACTAATTGGTAAACACTACACATATAGAATTAGTAAATAGTAAACACTAAACATACATAGTAATTACTAATTAGTAAACACTAAATATATAAAATTGTTCAAAATTCAACTTACATATATAGTAAACACTAAACAATTAAACATATAGAATTTTTCAACCAAACACACTAAACAAACAAAGTCTATTATACATTGACAGCGTTAGAAGCTGCCCTTGATTCTGTAATCTCCTTCTTCGCAGACACTTAGCTTAATGGCACAACAAGCTGAGTATCATCAATTTCATCTTCTACAATTAACAAAATATAAGTTAACTATCGTTATATATTAACAAACTAAAATATTAAAACATGTGAAATATAAGTTAAAATATTACCTTTAACTTCATATCCATAAATCCATGTCTTGGTGCATATCAAAGACTCTGCATTCTCCAGTAAAAGTGAACTTTGATAGTTACTGAGCACTTTGCTACCAACGCTGAAACTGGACTCCAAAGCAACAATTGTTATTCACGGGCCATCATGGAAAGTATCAGGTATCGATCACTATTTTTCTTCAAATGGTCTAGGATATCCAGATTGCAAAATTTGATGCGATCAAACCTTGCCTCTCCCAAATAAGTATCCAATTCGGACTTCGTAGTAGCACTAAAGTCACTCTTGTAGTAGTCAAATTCCTACACCATTTAAATATTTAAATTTAATAAAGCAAAATTACAAACTAAACAAAACCTTATTAATCACAAGAATATAAAAATATTTAAGGAGTAGTGACTTACACAAATATCATCTCCAAGGATATTAGGACTACTAGTTTGTACCCAAGGATCGCCAGGAACCTTTTTGCAACTTAGACCCTCATAAGCAGCAAAAGACCAACTCCAACTTTCTTGATGCTACTGTTGGACTATCAACTTTTTTGTAACAAAACTCAACAAACTCAAACTTGAAACGTGGGTCCAGAATTGCTACAATTGCTAACACAACGCTATAAGAATCCCAATATTTGTCAAACTTTACTTTCATTTGACTTGCCATGGTACTAACAACTTCATCCTCATTTTCCATCTCTTTGTATAAATGCACTTGAACTCTCCACACATTTCTAAGGTACAAGTTTGCTGTGGGTATTAGGAACCCGAAAAAATAGTAGTGATGTCATAAAATGGTTGTAAGAACTTGCAAATCCTCACCCTCTATCCAATTCTTCATCTGAAGGACAACTTTTATAATTGGGATCTATCAGTGACAAATGAACAAACACACGACGGTATATTAACGCACTTTCAAGCATTAAATAAGTGGAATTCCATCTTGTGGGAACATCCATTCGCAATCCTTTTGAGCTTATCACACCAATTTTTTTAACAAGTTCTCCAAATTTGATTAGCCTTACTTTCTTTAACATATTTCACACTTTTACGAATCTTATGTAAAGCCACGCTACTAACCTTTAACCCTTCTTGGACTATGTATTCAAGATATGTGCACAACATCGCACATGAAAAAAAGAACTACCGCATAATAAAGCATTTTGCACACAAAGTTGACTCCTTAAATTGTCTTCCACTTTATCATTATTACTTGCACTGTCTAATGTAAGAGAGAAGACTTTCTTTTCAATCCCCCAATCTTTTAACAAATCATACACTATTTCTAACAAAAGAGCCCTTGAGTGTGGAGGAGCAATATGACAAAAATTAAGAATTCTACTTTGTAACTCCTAATTCTCATCAACATAGTGAGCTGTTAAAGAAATATACCCATCAGTAGTACAAGAACTCCAAATATCAGAAGTCAAGCATATTCTACCCGAAATCCTCTCTAAAGCAAGCTTCATCTTTTCCTTCTCCCTATAATATATCTTTAAGCAATTCACCTTAGTAGTGTTCCTAGTATAAGGCTTAACTTCATGATTCAAATACATGTGGACATCTCTAATTCTTTCATGCTCCACTATTGAATATGGGTAATTATGTTTTATGATTCCTATTGCCATCTTCTCACAATAAATTTCTTGAGAAATCCTGAAACGTCTCAATTTAGTATCACAATCCATCATCATTTGATCTACACTACTAATGGTACGTTTAAGACAACCTTCCATATGGTGTCTCAAATTGTTAGTCCCATGAGTGGAACTACCATATGCATAAGACTTATTACAAATCAACACCTTGCCCTCATATCCCTATTGTCTTCCATATATGTTGTAAATTGACCCTAAACATCTGAAACTTTACGCCTTTTTGGACAAACAATACTACCACTAGAAAATGGTTGACCTACAACTACATTACAACCCGTTTCTATTGCCTCATTAAAAAAAATCTGTAGACTCCTCCATGCCAAGCCAATCTAAAGGACACAACATAGTATTTACATTTAAATTAATTAACCAATCATAACAATTCATCCAAAAAAATAAAATAAAAAACACTCCCATATATTTTACAAGCAAACTAACTTTACCAAATGGCTGGATTTTCCCAACTCAACAATCAACACTTCTCAACTCCAATAACTCAATGCTCACAATTCACAATGCAAATAATGATTCTAACATTAATAGAAATTTGAAATCAATGAGAAAACTCAATGCAATCTTTATATAAAAACTGTACTACAATAACTCAATGCTCACAATGCAAATAATGATTCTAACATTAATAGAAATTCGAAATCATACAAAAAACTCAATGCTCATAACTCACAAGTCACAATGCAAATAATGCATCAAAACTCAATTCTCACGGTGCAAATAATGGTAGTTAAATGTATTGTCTTTTCAGCCCAAAACATTTGCCAACTTGGTGAAAGCGTTTACCTCTGAGAGTGACAGTTGCTTCTGAGAGTTAGGCAACGTTAGAGTGAGAGAGAATGAGAGTGAGAGGAGAGCAAAAGCTACCGTTCGTCGGCGTGATAAGGTGAGAGAGTTCAGACTGAGCTGAGAGTCATGTCAGAGCATAATGAGAGTGAGAGAGAGCTACAGCTGCTGCTGTTTCGTTAGCGGCGGCCTAGGTTTGGGAGCCGCTGTTCATCGGCGTGACTGAGCGCAAGAGAGTTGAGACTAAGCTTAGAGTCGTCGGAGCATAATGACAGTGAGAGGAGAGCTGTAGCTGCTGCTATTTCATTGGTGACGACTTAGGTTTGGGAGCTGCTGTTCGTATACGACAGTGAACTCTGACTGTGGCTGCGTGAGTGAGCTATGAGTGAGCGTGCTGCTACTGCTGCATGAGAGAAGAGAGTTGAGTGTATACTCTTGGGTTTGGGAGCTACCGTTTGTCGGCGACAGTGAGCTCTGACTGTCACTGCGTCTTGCATGAGTGAGATGTGAGGGAGCCGTGAGCGTGTTGCTGCTGTGTGAGAGAAGAGAGTTGAGTGTGTACTCTTGGGTTTGGGAGCTGCCGTTCGTCGGTGACAATGAGCTCTGATCGTGGCTGCATCCTACATGAGTGAGCTGTGAGGGAGCAGTGAGCGTGCTACTGTTGCGTGAGAGAAGGGAGTTGAGTGTGTACTATGATTGTAGTCTAAGAGTTGCGTTTTGAGTTTGACTTTAGGGTTTGTTTTGTAACCTTTGTTCTTTGTAAATTGTTATTACTTATTTGAATTTTGAATATTTGTTAATAAATTAAATTGTATTTTAAATTAATTTTTTTAATTCAATTGCGGGTATTACCCGACCCACTTGCAAATTTCACGGACGGGCCGAGTACAGGTCACTTTGAAACGGTCTTTTGGAGGGATACTCGTACCACAATACAAATTTGTGCCATATCTAGAAAGGTGGCTGACGCATTATCTCCAATTCCATTCACTCTCATAATAATTGAAGCAAATAGTGGACCTCAACAGAACTTTACAATAAGAAAAAAACAATTATAAAACAAAGAAAAAGAAAGAAAGCTTTACAAAAGAAAGCTATTCTTTCTTTTATTACAAAAAGAAAAAACCCAAATGGATCAATCAAGTCCAAACCAACTTAAAAATCATTCGACAATGGCACATGTTCAGAGTGCATGAACACATTGCCATAGATCAGCCCAGCAAGCCCACCGCCGATAAGCGGCCCAACCCAGTAGATCCAGTTATCGTGGAAGTCACCGCTGGCCACTGCTGGCCCGAAGGAGCGGGCCGGGTTCATGGATCCACCGGAGAATGGGCCGGCGGCCAAGATGTTGGCACCAACAATGAAACCTATGGCAATGGGTGCAATGGTGCCCAATGAACCCTTCTTGGGGTCAGCTGCCGTGGCGTAAACTGTGTAAACAAGAGCAAATGTGATGATGACCTCCATTACCACTCCTTCAATGGCTCCAACTCCAGCTACAACACTGTGGATGGGAATCGCCTGCAAAAGAAGTAACAAAAACCAAGTTAATTAATCACTCCTATGGTTTCGGTTTACTATTGGCCAGGTTGGTGTTTTGGGTAATTGACAAGTGTCCGCCCGGACGTTCTTGTAGGATTTTGAAGCTTACCAAGCCTCCTGTGACAACTTTGAGGAGGTAGCAGGCAACAATGGAGCCAAGAAGCTGGGCAATCCAGTAGAAGATGCCAGAAAGGATAGTGATTTGGCCTCCGAGAGCCAATCCGAAGGTGACAGCGGGGTTGACATGGCCGCCGGAGATGTTGGCACCGACTGAGACTGCAACGAAGAGAGCAAAACCATGGCAAATTGCAATCGCAACAAGCCCTTCAGGATCAAGAGCNTGCTCACAATGCAAATAATGATTCTAACATTAATAGAAATTTGAAATCATACAAAAAACTCAATGCTCACAACTCACAACTCACAATGCAAATAATGCATCAAAACTCAATTCTCACGGTGCAAATAATGGTAGTTAAATGTATTGTCTTGTTTGCCCAAAGCATTTGCCAACTTGGTGAAAGCGTTTACCTTTGAGAGTGACGATTGCTACTGAGAGTTAGGCGATGTCGGAATGAGAGAGAATGAGAGTGAGAGGAGAGCAAAAGCTGCCGTTCATCAGTGTTACATCGTGAGAGAGTTCAGACTAAGCTAAGAGTCGTGTCGGAGCATAACGAGAGTGAGAGGAGAGATACATCTGCTGCTGTTTCATCGGCGATGACTTGGGTTTGGGAGCCACCGTTTGTTAGCATGAGTGAGCACGAGAGAGTTGAGATTGAGCTAAAAGTCGTCGGAGCGGAATGACAGTGAGAGGAGAGCTGCAGCTACTGCTATTTTGTCGGCGATAGCCTGGGTTTGAGAGCTGCCATTCATCAACGACAGTGAGCTCTGACCGTGGCTGCGTGAGTGAGCTGTGAGTGAGTGTGCTGCTGCTGCATGAAAGAAGAGAGTTGAGTGTGTACTCCTAGGGTTGGGAGCTGTCGTTCGTTGGCGACAGTGAGCTCTAATCGTGGCTGCGTCCTGCGTGAGTGAAATGTGAGAGAGTCATGAGCGTGATGCTGCTGCGTGAGAGAAGAGAGTTGAGTGTGTACTCTTGGGTTTGGGAGTTGTCGTTCGTCAGCGACAATGAGCTCTAACCATCGCTGCATCTTGCGTGAGTGAGCTGTGATGGAGCCATGAGCATGCTGTTGCTGCGTGAGAAAAGAGAGTTGAGTGTGTACTGTGATTGTAGTCTGAGAGTTGCGTTTTGAGTTTTGACTTTAGGGTTTGTTTTGCAACTTTTGTTCTTTGTAAATTGTTATTACTTATTTGAATTTTGAATATTTGTTAATAAATTAAATTGTATTTTAAATTAATTTTTTTTTAATTCAATTGCGGGTACCCGTGGGTATTACCCGACCCATCTGCAAATTTCACGGGTGAACTGGGTACGGGTCGCTTTGAAACGGGTCTTTTGGAGGGATACCCGGACCACAATACAAATTTGTGCCATATCTAGAAAGGTGGCTGACGCATTATCTCCAATTTCATTCACTCTCATAATAATTGAAGCAAATAGTGGACCTCAACAGAACTTTACAATAAGAAAAAAACAATTATAAAACAAAGAAAAAGAAAGAAAGCTTTACAAAAGAAAGCTATTCTTTCTTTTATTACAAAAAGAAAAAACCCAAATGGATCAATCAAGTCCAAACCAACTTAAAAATCATTCGACAATGGCACATGTTCAGAGTGCATGAACACATTGCCATAGATCAGCCCAGCAAGCCCACCGCCGATAAGCGGCCCAACCCAGTAGATCCAGTTATCGTGGAAGTCACCGCTGGCCACTGCTGGCCCGAAGGAGCGGGCCGGGTTCATGGATCCACCGGAGAATGGGCCGGCGGCCAAGATGTTGGCACCAACAATGAAACCTATGGCAATGGGTGCAATGGTGCCCAATGAACCCTTCTTGGGGTCAGCTGCCGTGGCGTAAACTGTGTAAACAAGAGCAAATGTGATGATGACCTCCATTACCACTCCTTCAATGGCTCCAACTCCAGCTACAACACTGTGGATGGGAATCGCCTGCAAAAGAAGTAACAAAAACCAAGTTAATTAATCACTCCTATGGTTTCGGTTTACTATTGGCCAGGTTGGTGTTTTGGGTAATTGACAAGTGTCCGCCCGGACGTTCTTGTAGGATTTTGAAGCTTACCAAGCCTCCTGTGACAACTTTGAGGAGGTAGCAGGCAACAATGGAGCCAAGAAGCTGGGCAATCCAGTAGAAGATGCCAGAAAGGATAGTGATTTGGCCTCCGAGAGCCAATCCGAAGGTGACAGCGGGGTTGACATGGCCGCCGGAGATGTTGGCACCGACTGAGACTGCAACGAAGAGAGCAAAACCATGGCCAAAATAGCAATCGCAAACAGCCCTTCAGGATCAAGAGCGCATTTGCCGTCAACTTTCTATCATCCAAAAAAAAAAAAAAAAAAAAAAAAAAAAAAAAAAAAAAGAGTTAGAAATCAAAACCAGAAACATCAATTTAGGAATAGAAAATGCATGCATGCAAAAGAAGAAGAAGAAGGGAGGGAAAAGGTAAGTTTATTACTGTAAGCATAGCAGAGCCAACGCCGGCAAAAAAAAGATCAAGGTGGAGATATCAGCGAGATAGGCCTTGAAAGAGCCTAAACTGAAGGAATCATCAAATCTCAAAGGCAATCGCCATTACTGATTGAGAGAGAGAAGATGAAGATGGAAAAGTTTGTAGAGGTAGAGCACAAATGCCGCGGGCTATGTCACTTGTCACACACACATATATATAGAGAGAGAGATATGCTACAAAGAGTAGTATAAGACAAGCTAATATTTATTATATGGTTTTTAGATAAGGTGGTGTATAATAAATATGGTGACGAGGATCATATTGTATAGTTTTAATTTTAAGGGGCATGTACATTTCTTCTCTTTTATGGTATGCGCTTCATAAAGGAATTAATCAAAACTCTTTATTTTATGTAAAAAAGATATTAAAAGATATCAAAATGTTCAATAATAAGTTACGATTATAAGGGAGTTATAGCAGTTATTTATTTTATTTTTGTGTCATTACCATTTTTTTTACATTTATTAATTTAATAATCAATATAAATATTTAATTAAATCAAGAGATAACTATGATCCCGGAATAAAGTTTATATAAAGAATTTTTTAGTGGAAAGTATTGGTAAGTTATAAAGAGGGTTAAAGACATGTTGGTCCTGAGGTTTAGTTAAGAATTTGAGTCTAGTGAATCTAAAGTAACACTTAAATTTTATCAATTGCCAACTATTAATTTTTTTAATTATGTGTTCGAGCTAGCTAAGCATTCGACTATTCCTCAAGGGAAGACTCCCACAATAACTCCTCACTGTGACCCTTAAATAAATTATGACAAATGTACTATTTTCGTACAGAAAGAATGTATTTGGACTGTGGTTGAATATACACAACTTCTTAATTCCCTTTATTGTTGGTTATCTCAGGGTGTCTAACATTAAAATTTTACTTGTAAAAGTTTAAAATCCTCATCAATAGAATTATAAAAAAATGAAATGCTTTTTAACGGAAAATTCTATAAGATTAAAAATTGTAATTATAAGAAAATAAAAACTGATAAATAGAGGTCGTTTTTCAAACAGCTGCCATCTGTAAGGAGAAACTTGGACCAAATGTTAGGGACTAAATGGTATAACTCTATACGTATAAATAAGATAAAAAGGAATAAAGAGCAAGAATCCAAGTATATCATCCGGTCCAAGCAAAGTCAATCAAGCTTTTCTAGCTGAAAGCTAGCTGTCACAAGCATGCTTTATGGAAATGTCTGGACGCTCATCAATGATAATTCATGTGAGCAAAGGGAGAGTGATGGGGTCATCTTTACTGTTGTTTTCTGAGGATGCCGAAGACTAATTCTGGCCACAAAAAGCACGACCATCCTCACAGAATGGACTTTCTTTTCAGGGTTTTCTTCAGATTTGAAATATGTGTGGATAAGATTGGTTTGGAGTTATTTTAATGGAGATTTCAGTACAATATTTTGAATTATTGAGGAGGTGGCCGGCTGATTTGAGATAACCAGGAATCTTGAGCAATCTTTGGCTTGTTGTTGGTTAATTGGTATTATTGATATGGGTTTGTTTTGTTTATTTCTTTTTATTGGCTTTTTATTCAATAAAAAGTGGTGGGGTATCCAACTATGATTCTTTGTCCCTTTGAGACAGGATGAATATGGGGTAGGTCCAAATGAATGACCATGAAGAGTTCAATTTCAATGGTTTGGTCACACCACCTTTTTTTCTACTTGTGGGGTTGCCAAGTTATTTAAATCAGGTTTATAATGCTCTTGAATCAACCAAAAAAAAAAAAAAAAAAAAAAAAAAAAAAAAAAAATCCTTTGGTGAATTGTTTTGAGTACAATATTACTAGATTTTTAGTCGGATGGCAAAACTTTAACCATCTGGGTGGGTTATACAGAGTTTTTGTGTCTAAGTCTCACAAAATGGTCAACAACCATATTTGTGACTTACCTGATCCATTAAGTTTATAAGACGTTCAATGGACTCCGAAGATTAATTGAGATGTATGTAAACTGACATTAACATCTAGGTTATTGAAAAAATAATAATAATGTAGCACGTCATAAGAGAAGAATAGAATATTTGTCATTTTACAAACCTGATAAACCTTTATCAAGATATAATGTTATCATATCATTATCAAAATATTAGAGTTGAATAAATTCTGGTTATAATATAGTGATATAGTACACAAGTAAAAGAAATCTTGCATTTTGCCAATATTTTTTTTAATGATATTAGTTCATTTTGTGTTCATTTTATGAACATTGAGCATCACATGTTATGTCCCACTTCGATGTTTTTATGGCTACTACCTTACCACATGGAATTGCAAACTGGCTACCATTTCAATTCCTTAAATTAAAGTCTCACTGTTGAAGAAGCATTTCACATTTACCTAACTTTGGCTTTGCCTTTTCTCTTCTAAATGACCATAAACTAACTACAATCATATCACCTTTGCTTTTACTGGGTAATTAAATCTCTGAAATTAGGTGAGAAGTGTCTGTGCTAAAAGAGTGAAAACTGTTTTTGATCACTGGTATGATTTAACATCATTGTTCCACATTATGGTATCTGGGTTGTTGCAAATAATTCTAAGTGTTTTTGCTGCCATTCATTTTGTCTCCAGTAAAGAACAAGAACAATGGCATTTCTATGTTTTATAAATCAGAAAGCAAGACGTATAACTGGGACCAGTTTGTTTAATAATCTAAGGTCCAGGTTCATCATGGTACTTCCATTGCTGAGCTTGATGCGTCCATTGTTGAGCTTGAGAGTGACTGATCATAGCTTTTGCTTAAGGCATTTGTATTGGTTGGCAATATTTTGGAAAGAATATTAATTTTTATAATTGTAGTTTAATATAATTTAGTAGTGGTTGAATTTAGACATGTGAAACACAAGTTCACTTTGTTAGAAAGAAAAGTCTGGTCTTTCCAGTTTCCTCTCATTTTTGTGGGGTTGAGCCGAAAGAGAGTTGAATATGAGCTCATATATGAGCTTTCTAGGGTAAATAAACTCATTACTCCGATAATTTATCGGATCAATGCACCCTTTTTTTTTTTTTTTTTTTGGGTTGTCGCAATCAACTACAGCTAAAGCTCCATTAAAAAAAAAATTTCATGGGTTGGACCAGTGTTCTAAAAAGTAGACTAGATTGGCCAATTGGACGAATCACACAAGCGATTAGAGTCCTCTCTAGTCTAGGTTACCATTTTTAACTGTTCATAAAATCCCTAACTTGACCGCGCTGATGAATGAGGGGTTACTAAGTATCAGGGTTAGAGGAGGTTTATAGAATAAAGGTCGGTGGTTGAAGGGGTGGTGTCAGATTGAATTTTAGATGTTGGAATTAGCTAGAGTTTAGTCGAAAAATCAACCCAATATGTGAGTCACGGTCGGCGAATGGGGAGCTACCAAGTGTCAAGGTTAGAGAGATTTTGTAGAGTGGAGGCCATGATTCAAGTGGTGATGTTGGATTGAATTTTGGACACCGGAATCAATTGAAATTTGGCCAAAAAAATCAACACAATATTCGAGTCACGATCGGCAAACGAGGGGCTACCAAGTGCTGGGGTTAGATGGGTTTTGTAGAGCAAAGGCCGATGGTTCAGGTGATGGTATCGGATTGAATTTTGGACGCCAAAATCAACCGAAGTTTTGCCAAAAAAATCAATCAAATCGCGAAAGTATATGCTAGTCACAACTAGCAAACGAGAGGCTACCAAGTTCTGGGGTTAGAAGAGTTTTATAGAGTAGAGAACGATGGTTTAGGTGATGGTGTCGGGTTAAATTTTGGTCGGAAAAATCAAAACCTAAACAGATCGCAAGAGTGTATTTGCAAGATTGCAAACCTATAAGAACTGATGTAGAGTTTTCAGGGGTGTGTTTGCAAGATTTCAAACTTTATGGATCACCAGAGACCGCCAGTTTAACTGATCGAACTAGTCAATCTGAGACCCAACCCCTTGGCCAGGTGACACCCTAGGTCGAGTTTAAGAACACCGGTTAGACCACTTCGTCGAGGAATATAAGGTTTGTCATCTAAGTGTCAATATCCTCATTTTTAAGATCATTAGAAGTCGAAAACAACTCAAATCAAAAGAAGATCCTAATGTTTTACTTATTAGTCTATTGACGTTATGTTATTACTGTTATCATAATATGATCCTCTGAAGAAAAATGCAAAGATCTTGTAAACCATCGACACTGTTCTATAATCTATATCAATTCTCTAGGCAATGGGAAAATTCTCCTCTAAATTAGGGATGCAAGACTATGAAAGAAATAAAATGTACAAGCTTATACAATAATTTCAAGTTCACAATCTCATGTAACAACAAAGTACTTCAACAACCAGATGCAGCAATTTTCTGCAAAGCAAGAAATTGATTTCACCATGAAAGTTTAAAATCTATCCATTAACCATGCACTTTTCAACTGTTACAAGTATTTACTTTACTAATAGATACTCAAGATCATCAGTATCTAAGAAATTATAGCAGCAAATCTTATTTCGGGAACCTAAAAAAGAGGGAAAAATTAGAAATTTGGAAGCAAAAGCCGAAAATACGCTAGTAGGCTTCATCACAAGAGAACGATCTTATATAACACTAGTGGCAAGTGTTTTCTACTCAAAGGGAACTAAGTTGTTAATCTTCAACTTAAATGGATCAGTTTGCTTTGGTGTTTTCAGGAAAAGGTATTGAAGCACAGCAATGATAATAGCCACTTTCATCAAATACAAATCTCTGTGAAAGATGAGCTTCGGGGATAATATACTCTCTCCATTCCGCAGATCCATATTGCTTGAAAATCCCCGTGCATCAAACGAACAAGCTCTCTTGTCCTACTCTTGCTGTACAATCCAGTTTAGTTTCATACATCTGTCAGAATAGAGCTAAAGAAAATAAAGAAAAACCAAAGGGTTTATAAGCCATGGAATAACAAAGAGACAAAAAAGAAACGGGCACCTTTTCCGATGCCTTGCATTCATCACAGTGGCATGCAACTGCAATTTGAGGAAACAACCAACTGTTAGTAATAATATTTTTTAGTGAAGATAAATGAACAACACAAATACACAGATAGTTAGGTAACACGGCTGTGTACTGGGCAACCAACAGAGTTCAAATTAAGCAGCAGATATCATTGTTGAAGTTTGAAAAAGAAAGAAATAAAATAAAATAGAAAAGAACAAGAACAAGAACAAGAACAAGAAGACACTTAACATAACATAAAATTACAAAAGCAAATACTTGAATGGTCCTATATTGTACCTTCAACTTCTGTGTAGCATCTTTCTCAAGCACAAGTCCAGCTTCATTAAATGCATCAATAATGACTTCTAAGAAGGTTCAGGAAATTCAAAAGACTCCACTGAATTAATAAATATGACAAAAAATTGATAAAACTAGACAATATTGTACTCTGTTTTTCCACTGTATTTCCAAGTGTAGCAGAAAAAGGAGAAGACAATGATATTGACAATTAAGAAATGAGGATACGACATGCAGAGAGAAGTCGACCATCATCACCATTTCTTCCACTGGAGCATAGAGTACATGAGCTTTGGCTGAAGAACCTCTCATTAATTCCTGCACAGAGAAAGGTTGATCCCAAATAAGATATTATGCACTAAATTGACATTTAAATATTAGCAGATTCTCAACCTTCACCTGTCTATGTCCCGTCAGCTCAAAGACTCAAACTCAATATAAGCTGTATTTGAACTTGAAAAACAATTCCACCAGCCCCTTTAGTCTTACAAAGATGGATCGATCATCCAAGGCATCCATCACTTTCGAGGAAATACTCTGACAGAAACATAAAGCATTATAACATCAAGAATGCTACTATCAACCAATAGCTATTTGAACAGAAATTCACCTTCAAAACTCAATAGCTGCGTTAACTCGGTCCTTGTTCCACAATTTCAACATCAGCACGGTTATGTGAAAGGTTTTTGGTTTAATAAACCTAAATCTGTTGACAACAGTACAGCATTATTGTCAGAGTAAGAAAAAGGAGAATCAGAGACTATATAAAATGCCATGGTCCAATATGTTAGTTGCATGGTTCCAGTGTTGTCCTCTGGAGAAGATGCCCAAAGAAATGAACTTAGTCACTTACCCTGTAGTAACTTGGGGTTAATATCCAACCGCTGAGGAATGAAGTCATGACATGTTGTAATTCTTCTTTTTCTTCCCCCATCCTTCTCATCGCGTAATTTGGAGAACTCAGACAGGTGAGACAAGTGAAGAATGAGCACTTGTTTCATCTGGTATATTGTATTTCCTTTATCCTTCACATGCACCAAAACAAAAATATGGCCAATCACATGGTTTCTTATTTCATGTGCCAACATATCAGATACATATTCAATTTTTGGGGCAGTATCCGCATCGCTCACATTTGTCAGATTTCCCAAAAAAAAGTAAACTTGTAAGAGAACTATAAATTCTCAGTATTAACCATACATTTGTCCTGCATATTAAGAAGGAAAACAGTTTAACCAGTCACCCAACGTTGTTTTCAAACTGAACATCAAGATACCAAGAAAGAATAGAACTAGTGATTAGCCATAATTAATCTAACCAGTTTAATTTTTGGTGCACGAGACAAACCATTAGAGTCCTCAGTCCTGTCCTGTCTCCTTTTAACACCAGTCTTCTAGAAGCCAACTGTTTGATGGTCTTATTATCACCAAACATATAATAATATAAAACAAAGACCTTAAAAAGAAAGCAGACCAGAACCGAGACAGTTAAAAAAAAAAAAAGAGAAATGTTACAGCAAACCTTCCTGTTTCCAGCTGCAGCTGGTATTCTCTCTTGTAAGCTACAAATCATTGAAGGCGATTTCAACAACTAATTTTATTTAACTATCAAATTCATATGAAATATACAAAACATTGATAATGATTGTGATAAAAAAAAAACCAGCTTACTTTTGAAGAAAGCTCCATGCTCTAACAATGCTAATTGAGTAATGAGCTGTGTCCAATGAATTCAAAGAATGAATCTATCCCTGTAATATTAACTCATGATTATTAGTATCGACATCTGAAGACATAGAAAGTATAAACAAATCAACCATTATATTACCTGGTTTCAGAGTTGTCCTGTGGAGAAGGCAAAATCTTGTGTAATGAAACAATATATGCTGCATTAACTAATTGTTTGAACTTAATTGAAAACTATCTTGACCATCGGAGAATTAAATACAAAGGAAATGGCATCCAAGGCTTTTAGAGGCAATTGCCAACAAATTTAACTGATTATCAATGAAATACACTATTACTTACAATCTCACTTCAAATGGTGAAGGATATGGTTGAGTTGCATCTTGACATGATTGGAACACAAGAAGCTGCAAATTCCATTGCATGAATGAAAGCTTGTCGTCAAGGGAAAGCCAAGGGTTGTAATTCTGCTCTTGGAGACTAATCCATGGTTAACCTTGAAGATGAATGTGCATAGTCCATAGCCTGCCGACAAGGTCATCTTGTTTGATAGAACAAATGAATGACGGAGCTGATGAATGTTTTTTATGATGCAGAAACTGTTCAGAACACATTAGAGTTGTGTCCGAATTCTCCTAGAAGAGAAATAGAAATGGATTTTATCCATTGTGCAGGTTGTATCACAGGATATTCTTGGAGATAACAAGATTGATTTTGAGGGTTGACCAAGACCACGCTCTGCAATACAATTACAAATTGCACTCGGAGTTCCAATCCATGAAGATTTATTGTTAAATTCTCCTGCATCCTTTCAGTACCAGAAAAAAGAGGGGGTAACAGTGTGTCATCTTGCTTTAAAATTCAACCAATATGATACAAATTGTGACATTAAGAAGAAAATATTACTTACAGGATAACAGTTGACAGTAATGGAGAAAATTCTGAATAACTAATAAATCCTTTCGCTAGACACAACTTCTTTTTAGCAACCTTGGCTAAAAAGCAATAATATCTGCATAGAACAATGCCTATTATCGATAAAAACTTAATTCTTCAAGACAGACAAGAGCAAGAAGGAAATAGAAACGTATAGAAGCTCACCAAGCAAATGTGGAAACAAAACATTAGGCACTTGTTTCATCGGAAATATTTTCTGTTTGTTACAAGAAAAATCGGCTCTTCGTAGTTCTGTCCTTAGGTATATTTTATCTGCTGATAAGTAACAAAGCTTTATATTCTCAGCATAATTAGCATTAATGGCAAATCAATTCTGCATATAAGGAAAAAACTAAGATGACCAGCCAATATTTTCTGTGACATAATTTTTGATTGGACATAAGTAAATGAAGAAAGTATAGAGAGGACTTACCAAGGATAATAGCCAATTTGATCTTTGAAACAGATTCAGTTTGATTGCTTTTCTTAACTTCCAGAAACCATTCTACATTTGTAAGTAGCATCATTTAACTGAACTTATTTAAATGAAGAATAGAGTTAATGATATGTCATACTTGGTTCAATGCATCATAACTAAAACACGCGCGCTGCATAATTGATCGGATCCATCCAACCTTAAGAGACAACCAATGACGGAAATTTAACATTTAAAGCTTCAAAGTTCAGTTATGGAAAAGTTCTTTGTTTTAACTGCTTTGAATAGTCAGAAAACAAACTTGGCAAGACATTATCTCCAGAAAAATTGAAACAGCTTAGATGAAAAATCAAAACAGAGGCCATACAGATAACAGAAATGAAAAGCATTACTGCAAATCCTCTCCTCTTCTCCGGCTGATCACATTCTGCTATTCTCTATCTTGTGGACCACAATGCATTATAGCCATTTTTTATAAATTTCTTTGCCCCAGTGAAAAAAATCCAACCCTGAAACACTGATTCATGATTATTAGCGTTGAAATCTTGAGTAATGCAAAATGGATAACTCAAAGACTATATAATCTGCCATTGACCAATATATTACCAAGATTAATACTTTCACAAATCAAAAGCAGTGAGGATTTCTATAGAAACCTGTTGCATGTCTGTATTTTAGCATATTGAAGTTCAATTTCGAACCTATATTTCAGAAATTTGAAAATAAATTCAAAAACCATGCTGCACATTAGAAATACAAAAATTGAAATAGGATGATCAAGAATCACCTGTGGCTTGTGGGTTGCTGGTAGCTGCTGTCAAATTGATAATTCAATTTGGGCTTCCTTGCAGGTACGAGTACGACCCTCAATTTGATGTGCTTCAGGAATAGGACATTTATGAATTATCACTGATATATCGAGTTTTGTCTTCTGGAAAAGGCCACCTGGTAGGGCATTTAACTTGGTCTGGCCTACACCGTAACGGGCAACCGGGAGCTCAGCCGCTCATGGTGGTGTCGACGGTAGCTGGAGACGGTGAAATGGTGCCGGTCATGGTGGAAAACGAATCACCGGCAGTTGGAGAAGGTGGTTTGTGGCCAAGGGAGGATTCCAGTGGTGGTTCCCGGCGGCCGGTGGCGAAACGATGACCCGAAGGTACCGGGAGGTCGCTCTCGAGCTGGGGAGTGAGGATCGGTAGCTGGGGAGGTGCAACATCCCCGGAAAGTGAGCGAAAACTCGCCTGGAAGCCGAAGAGTCACAATATGTAAAGTGATGAAACTCGCCGGAGAACAGTCAAATCAGCGGCAAGAAAGCTCGGGGAAGATGACCCAACACTCGGGAAGCCGAACCTTCGCCGGAAAATGGAAGAAACTCGCCGGAAGATGAAAGGTCGCACGAAGGAAGCCCAAACGTCGCCGGATTCCGTTAGATCTACGGTGGAGATGACGGTGGATGATGAACCGGCACAAGGGGAGGTTAAGGGTGACCGGAAATGGCCGGAACCCGGCGAACGGTGAGGGTTTCCCGGCTGCCTCCTGGTTTTGCGCAACTTCATTTATTTATGTGGAAATATAGGTATACTTTTGGTCCCTGCACGATTGAAAAGTGACAAAATAAGCCTCATAGAAATATACCCGTTTAACCCCTGAACAGCATAAAAGAGACAAATTCAGCCTTAATCAATAAACTGCAACCTAATATCAACTTAAACACTCCAGCCACCATCTGGTGGTGGTAACCGGCTATCCGTATTGAATGGATGAGTTGGAGGTGTTTTTATTAACTTTTGATATTTTATTATAAGAGTGTTTAGTAAATAAACAAACATAGGAGATATTTTTGTTACTTTCCAAATTTTAAATCGTAATACCCGCCTAATTTAACTTTTTTCAAAATATTATATAAAAAACTATCAGAATAATAAACGAAACGGATTCGTACATTCGTAAAAAAAACATTAGAACTGGATTTCATGAATAAATTTATAAATTCGTAAATTGTCTTAATATAATTCAATTAAATCACAACTAGGGTATTTTAATCATTTAAATAGTCATTTTCATGACCGTTGTAGAAATAGTGACACATATATTCAGTAAATGACCTCATTGAAACAGAGAGCTATAGAAGAAATTCGAACCAGAGCTTTAAGAGGTAATAGAAATGGAAAAAATTATTGTAAATCTTCTTCTGTTCTCCAGCTGCCCACATTGTGTGCTGTCCCGTCTTTTAAGCCTCTTGGACTAATAAATTTGTGCCTCTGAATGAACATTGATTGAGTATTAATTAAAGAATGTGAAATCCAAGGATAAAAGACTATATGGAAAGACAATCACCAATCACCTGGTTTCTAATATCAGACATGAGTAGCACCGGAAAAGTCATTGCATCTGTGAATACCAGATTTGGGTCAATTTTTTCCAAGCCTGCAGAAACAGTAAAAGATATTCAACAAATGAACTTCAAACTTAACATTTTTAGTAAGTAATTTTTGAAAAAACAACAATAAATAAGCTGAAGTGATTGAACATTTAAAAAGAAATTGAAAAGATAAGCTTGTCCTGTTGCTTCAGACAATAATATAACACATAATTTGATTTAAAAAAATGTTATCTGGTTCCTAGATTAGAAAAAAATAACAGAGCATGCTTAAGTAATTACCTGTGGCTAGTGGGTTGATGTTTATTGCTTCCCTTTGACCCATTCAATACCAATTTTCTATGGTAGGGATGTGAGAGATCTTGAACCAGTCTTCTCCTGTTCCTTCTTTGTATCGTTCTTTTAGAATACGACATCCCCAAATCATCAATTTCTTNATTGATCCTACTGCAATGTGCAACAAGAATGCAGTAAAACTTAATTATCACTTATCAGACAAATTCTGAACTCAATCTTACAAAAACGATATGAAAAACTTACAAGTCTGTCAAATTTTTCAGCTCAGCAAATTCCGTTGGTAAATTTCCAGTCAATCTATTGGAGGAAAGTCTCCTGCAGCCAAAATTTAATTGATAACTTCAATAAAAATGAGAAAAAAAAAAAAAAAACAACAAAATATAAGAACCCCCGTAAATGACTTACAAAGTCTCCAAATTAACTAGTTTCCCAAGCTGCGTGGGCACTGTTCCTGAGAATTGGTTTGCTTCAATACTCCTGGTAAAATAGAAACAATAAGATAGCCAATAGAACATATTTGTCTAATTCTAAACAGACTAATGTGGACTATAGCCATTAGATTATTGCTAGAATCAATTTGTGAATTGTGTAACGCAAGAGTTCAAACTTCAAAGCTTACAAGTAAGTGAGACTGATGATGTTGCCCAAATGGCTCGGAATATTGCCTGATAATCGGTTCCCATAGAGAGAGCTGCATTGATAATTGCCAATAGTTGATGAATTCACATATTCAACTATTTGGTTAGCATGATCAGACAGATATAGATGCAGCTTACATAAATGTCAATTGCATCGAAGCCCATTCGACTGGTATCGAACCATTCAAGTAGTTGTAGGCAAAATTACTGCAAAACAAACAAGAACATTGACATAATTTAGTGTGTTTCACCTTACCTATTTAGAGATGTCTATTAAAGACAAAAACAGACGCCATGAAAATAAACGAATTGAAGTCCCACCATTGGATCCTAAATTTCCTTTCTGTTCATGCTTCTTCCTTCCTAATTACTGGGGAAAAAATGTGTATATTTATAAAAATACATATTCAGATTTGTTTAGCTCACACGAGATATTAGGAAGCTGGTTCAATTCTGGTGGAAGAACTCCAGAAAGGCTGCAACGTTTGAATTCTCTGAAAATTGAAAACAAAACATATCCAGAATCAGTTAGTCACACCCTAAAAATGCAAAATCAGAAACAAAATCAAACAATTAAAATGATAATTCTGTAGTTTAGAAGATGGTAAATATTCTACTGTTTTGTCAAAACAACAATGAAATTAAATATAGAAAATATTGACAGATTGAATTTAGAATCTATAAAGTGACTTGCCCTTTAAAATCTGTAATTTAATTATTGTTGTGTATTGAAACTTTTCAGCGGTATCACATTACACAAATGGTTGTTCTTACTTCAATGACCACAAAATCAAAGCAAATTCACATTCTTATATAGGATATTCCTACAACCTTTGTAATATTTCCTACAGGATTATTTCCAGAAGGCATTTGCCGATTTCCAAGAACAATTTACCCCAGGAAATGGACTTTACTGAAGTGTATACAACAAAAGAGATGGGCAAATATATACAGAGAATAAGAAAACTAACATTACTGAAATGTGTTGTGTACTATTATCGGGTCCAAGGATGCAAGAAATGTTCCTGGTTAATTCTGTCACAGCCGATTTCTCATGGAATTCACAAGCAGTATCGGCATCAAAAGTCCAGTTAGTAGCTCCCATTGTTTTGACAATTTGATTCAGAACATCAACTACAACACATCCACAGACAAACACAGCAACAGATAAGCAAATCAAATTTCAATTCAAATAGAGGTGTAAATTGAAACAGATTAACTAATGGCGCCCAAACCTAGAGAAGATAATATTATTATATGATCAACGTTATATCAAATAAAACAGCGATAAATTAAGAGAATCTGAAGACTTGATCAAAATGAAGTACAGGATTTTACAGAGAACATAATACTGACAGTACTACACTTATTTTAATCTCTCTTTTCCTGAAAGTTCTTATATGTTTTTTTATTGAAAACTCAGTCAATATGCATGTACAAAACTATAAAGTTAACCGTGAACAAGGTGAAATTCAAGCGAAACAGAAATTTGGGAAAGAAGAATTTGTCTTACCCTCGGCTTGAGGCAGCTTAGCAGCTACAAATAGTTGTTTCACTACACAACTTAAAGTTAGAATCGATACGAGTAAATTCTTGAAGAACATCATTGAAATTGAAAAACTCAAGAAAGACGCCTTGAACTCTCAAGCTTTCTTAGCTAAACATGAATACTATTTCATTTTGATCTTTCTTTATACATTATGGTAAAAGTAAGAATGATATGAATGAGAAACTTCTAAGTAAGAATGTTATGAATGAGAAAATTCCAAGTAAATCACTAACAGCCATCGGAGTAAAATATTTTGTCTTTCAGCTAATATGAATTTGAAGTCCTGTTAATTAACTAACTAATTATTGGATGTCGTTATTCTATGCACTGAAAAATAAAACCGTGTGCGAACATAGCATTAGCTGACAAGATTCTGAAAACGATAAGATTTTCAATGGCAGACATGACTAAATAAGCAAGCCGAGATTGGACTGTACGTGGTCTGTTTTCAAATAAGGTCAGTCGCCAGTATTTAATATGGCTATATATGATGCAAGTTGCTGGGGCTGCGGAGACAGAGTCAACTATGGAGTCCTCGGCTTGCGGACTCTCTGTCTCACACTTAGCCAACAGCAGCCCACTGGAAGAATATTTAGTATGAAAAATATGGTCAAAAATTGTGTTAAATGAGACCTGTTAGGGGTTCTTGAAGAGGATTCACTATTGTTTTGATTAGTATTTATCAACTCAGTTAGACCTCATGGTGTGTGATTAAGATTTAAATCCAAAAGATTCAAAGAAAAAAATTGCATATCCAACAACGCCAATGAAAACAAGTGTTTAGATTAACTTATGTCTATACTTGATTGCGACAGTCAAGATTTCTTCCTCAAAACAGCATAAACAGCATTGAAAACATAAATAAACCTATATGATTACCTTACCTAACATTCGACAAGTCTACCAGTTTGAATATTCTTTGTACTGCACAAATCGGAACACGTAAACATGCAAGTTTAGTCAAATACATTGAGATATAGTAATTCATATATAACTTTTTAAAAATATTACAAATTACCAAAAAAAAAAAAATGGTGTTTTTGTTTTTTTAAAATAATACAAGTTACTAATTCCTAAATTTTCTATTATTACAATATAATTTATTTAAAAAAAAAAAAAAAAGCAGGCAATTCAAGCCAGGGTGAGGATTGGTTTCAATTTCAAGGAAGCCCTTGCCTGATCTATGCTTTCAAGCGGGGATCAGGCGGGGTTTTTTTTTTTTTTTTTTTTTTTTTTTTTTTTTTTTTTTTTTTAATGGGAATGGGTTGTTGAAATTGCATTGTGTTGGAAGACTTGTTTTCAGCAGAAGGACATTAATGTCATTTAATAAAATTCTGTCAAAACTACAAAAAGTTTTAATGGTAGGGGGTTTATCAAAATTTTCCAAACCTCAAGGGTTTAAAATTAATGCCAAAGCATATGGTAATTGCATAAAAGATGGGATTAATGAATTATTATATAATTGTAATTAACCTGGCAAGAGAGTACCCACCCACCCTTATTTGACAAAGGAGTACCCCATCACTTGGGGGATTTTGGTCATATTAAAATATTTAAATTTAATAAAATAATCCGAAAGCATATGATAATTACAAATGATGGGATTTAATATTTAAAAACCCAGATGAAGTATAAGGAATCTATATATATATTTTAAGGTAGCAGGTATACCTGTCCCAATATATAGGAATATATTTCTAGTAACATGATTAGAACCTCAGTTTAAACAAATAATAATTTGAATAATAAGTATATAAAATGTTTATAGTCATAGTTAAGAGCATCTTTTGCTTTGTAATGGAATACCTCCTCTTTCCTGGACTCTAATCTTTAACTCTTTCCCTATTACTACTTTTCCTTTAATAATTAACTATATGGCTTTTTCAGACATTTGAATTCTGAATATTAATTTTTTAAATATAAATCAACATAGACAAAATGAATGATAGATCTCATACAAAATCTTTAATTAGGAAAATAAATATCAATCACTTTTCAAATCCTCTCGAATCGTGGCCAACCATAATTGAATATATATTAAATATATTTTAAGTAAAAAATAATTTATAAGGGTGAAGGTTTAAAGTGAACAATAAATCTATGGACAAATGTGTAATTGTCATAGTCAATACTAGCCAACCTATCTATTCAACAGCTAAAAGTAATGGCAACTTCAAGGGGTAGTTTCGCAACTTCAAGAGCTCGGGTATTATTCGGAAAAATATAGTTAAATTATGATTTCTCATAACTCATAAATAGTTAGATTCCATGTAGTGGGTCTCTTATTTTATGTTAGTGAGGGACATTATTTGACCAGTCCTACATCGACGTAGTAAAAATCAATAAATAATTATGCATGTGGCCAAATGACTCAGCACTTATCTTCCCACCTCACCAGTAGCGGATCCAAGAATTTTTTTTAGGATGGCCCAAAATAAAAATTTATTATACATTATTATTTTTGTCCATTAATATTTTTTTTAGGGTGGGTCAAAATATATAAATTTATATATTAATATTAAAAAAAAAATTTGAGCGTGGGGCTGGATCCGCCACTACACCTCTCACGCCAAGCACTGTAGTGAAGGACATTATTTGACCACTCCTACATTGGTTTAGTAAAAATCACTAAATTAATTAGGAAAAACGACTTACACCTATCAAAGGTTTGGTGAAGCGATGAGTGGTATCTAAAAAGTTTCAAAATGATAAACAGGTACCTTCCATCAGTGAAAAGACTAGAATGCCCTTTGAGAAATATTAGTTTATTTTTTTAATTAGACCCCTTAAGTTTATTAATTCCATCAAATACCCCTAGAAAAAAGTTAAAAATTAACAAAAACATCCCCACTCACCCATACTTGCCAGATTTCAGTGGCCACCGCCGGTGGTAGCCGGAATTTGTCACAACGATCTACGCCACCACCGAAAATGGCCAATAATTCACCGATCTGGCCTTTTATGGTCAGATCCATCACGGATATGGCCGGAACAGGCCAGATCTACGACCACGGATGTGACCGTCGTTGACAGTCAACGACAACCATTTCTTTGGCCGTCACTTTTCAGCCAGATCTGGCATTTTCACGTTAGATCTGGCCTTTTCTGGCCAAATCCACTATGGATCTGGTCGGAAAAAGCCAGATCAATGAAATACCAGCCATTTCCGGTGGTGGCGTAGACTGTTGTGACAGATTCCGACTACCACCGACGGTGACAGTCAGAATCTGACAAGTATGGATGGATGGGGGTATTTTTGTTAAATTTTAAACTTTTTTATGGGGGTATTTGATGGAATTAATAAACTTAAGGAGTCTAAAAGTAATTAAAAAATAGACCAATATTTCTCAAAGGGTATTCTAGTCTTTTCACTGATGAAATGTACATGTTTGTCGTTTTGAAACTTTTTGGATATCAATCATCATTTCGTTGGTTCGGCCAATTAATTAATGTATCTTGTAGTATTTTAATTAGGCATCTCGTAAATTCCAAGAAATATACAATGAGCGATAATGTCACACCCAAGGTTTGCATAATTACATTGTCCCACCTATTAACTTTAACAAAATCATTTTTCCACACTTCGTCAATCTTGATCAATGGAATCTGTTACCTGACATGTGATTTGATTTAATAACATGTGAAGGTGCTTATTTTGGCGTTCTCTGCGATGTGGTGTTGAATTTGTGGGGTTTGTTTATTGGTTTTTTCAAATTTTAAGGGTGGGAAAATGTAATTACGATAAAATTTCAGTGGGAAAATGTAATTTACTCCGTGGGGGACATTATTTGACCAGTCCTACATCGATTTAATAAAAATCACTAAATAATGATATAATTTGTCTACGCATGTGGCCAATTGAGTCAGCACTAATCTTCCCACCTCACATGCCAAGCACTGCAGTGAGGGACATTATTTGATCTGTCCTACATTGGTTTATCAAAAATCACTAAATAAATTAATGTTATGTTGTAGTATTTTAAGACTCTATCTCGTAATTTCCGAGAAACATACAATGAAGGATAATTTGTGAGATTTGAGTGATTATACGATATGCTGATTGAACTAATAAGCCTTTCATATTTGACGAAGCAAAATTCTTCTTTGCTAGGGTTTATAGTTTTGATCAGAAATCGTTGTAACTTGTGAGATTTGAGTGATTATGATTAGTCATTCTATGAGGGTGTTATTGCTCTCAAGTCAAGGATTCCTGGGTGAGTATCTCTATGGTACAAGTTGCGGGTAGATTTCAGTTTAAGGGTTAAGAGGTATATTAATCTGTGTAAGGTTGTAATTATTGGATCTTGAAGTAATATTAGAGCAGTGAGCACCTCCAATTCCAAAGCTAAAAGTGAATGTAGTTTATACAAATCTTGGATAAGTGAACCACAGTAAATCGATGTGTTGATTCTTTGTATTGGCTATTTGATTATTGTGTGTGTATGTGATTTAGATAATTTGGGTTAATCATAACAGTTAAGAAGAAAGGTTCCAGAAAATAACCTAATCAATTCCACAAATAATCAAAGATGTGGATACTTTCACATCCACATTCC